AAATTCCACCAGATCAGATCATGCGAACTCCCCTCAAGACTCTTCTGGAATTCATTGAATATACAGGGATAATGAGGGAGTAAAAGTACGAGGGCCCAATAGGACAGAAATGACCGCGGTGCGAGACCAAACACCACCTCGGCGGCGAGGAAAGGGTTTTAGTGGGTAAACAGCTTAGCTGGAGTCCCACACACACCACAGCGACAGACCACCAGCTCTGGGAGTGCGTAAAAGAGCATTTCCCAAACCTCACCGGAAAAAAAAAAAGAAAAAAAAAATGCATCATGGTCTATCGAATCTCAACTTTAGAACATTTTATTCAGAAACACCCTGTATTTAATATAACAATAAATACTCAATTAGTAATTAAAGAGGGCGCCAATTTTTTGGCGGCCTTCTTGGTTAGGAATATATTTATTTTAATTCAAGTTTAATTAATACAGACAACATTGTATCCAGTCTTTTATTATTTTTCTTATGGAAATAAATGTATTTGAGGGTTCTATGCATCCGTTCCAAAAGCATAGGTATTTGTATTCAAACCTGAACATAACCTGTAACAATAAGCTCATGACTCAGTAGGTTAGATATTCCTTTTGAAAATATTACCCAAATGGCTTTGTCGCAGAATCTCCTATTAAGTGAGAAATGGCTGACTTGATCATAAAATTAAAGGCATTTCTCTCAATTTCTTCTAAAACTGTACGCAGTGTTTTATACGTCTGAATTTGCTTCTCTTTTCCACAAATTTTAGTCACATTTTTTCACCAGGTTCTATCTACGTGTCAAGTACAGAACAGCCTTTTTTCAGGAACACCAAATACATTAAAATAACCATCCCCCCAGGGTTGACAGGATATAGAAAATCTTATTGCTGATTGGTTGCCAGTCGTGATACGTCAACGGTACCATTATGCCGTGTGCTGGGGCTATCCGCTTGTGTGTTTTAAGGGCAGAGCATGGTGTGCGTGTCCCGTGACCAAATCAGCTGCATGGTGTGCGTGACCAAATCAGCTGATTTAAAACATTCAATAACAACAGGCAAGATTTTAGGTTAAAAATTCGACTGACAGCAAACGGTAACGGCAAGTATATAAATCGCCTTATGTAGCGCAAACGGCAGCGGCAAGTTTGTAAATGGGCCTTTAAGTCGGTTAACATAATACTGCCATCTAAGCAATCATGATTTGCAAATGATTTTAGATGGCAGAAGAGAGGTTAGTTGAAATAGTCGGAGGAAATCAGGAGGTGTATGATACAAAACATACGAACTATATGAAAGCCAAAGTAAAGACCAGAATCAATATTTCTTCTTTAGCCTCACCATCTGACTGAACTTAAAAATTTCAAATAAATGTATTTTAATCTTAATTTCTTCATATTGACTGCAAACCGAAATCCGATCTAACTGACATTGATACGCACTGCGTCTCAACTTTGCGGACCTTGGACCTACGCGTGAAGTAAGTTCGCTTCAAACGCTCGTCGGGTCGCCTCATGCGCATCTCAATTTGCGCCTAGCCTTAGGCTAATAGATCTAAAGTCCTCACACTGTTTGATGGTATTTTTCTTAAGAATTATAACCGATAATGAAGATAATAAAGTCGATCTTAGTCAATCTTCCGGTAGTTTGTGGAGTGATATATTCTGTTAAATGATGCATATCCACTTGTTTTAGCACTTGCATAAATGTTATCATGTCCTGGACCTTCACCGTTCTTCAACAGTTCTCAGGTCTGTTCCACTTCGGATCTAATGATAGTTGGACCGCTGAACAATCCTTGACCAAGGTGACCCGAGCAAACGAATTAAATCTCAGAGGCTTCGAACGAACGATCCTCAGAAAAAAGTTTGGGCCACTCTATGATACCATCACTGACCAATATCAAATTAGAACTAATGTCGAAATTCAAGAACTTTACAAGGATGGTGATATTGTCCATTGCATAGCGGGATAATGATGATTGATTTTTCTCTCATGACTACACTAATCCTTATATGCAAATAATTTGCAATTGAACACACAGGTCTTACCTTGCTTCCGCAAATCAACAGCTCGATTTCTTCAGGACGGAATAGTTGTTCTAAAGGCGATTCATCCACCACCATTTGAAAGCCTTTATAAAAGGCTTTGAATTGCTTCTCTACGGATTTATTTAGCAAGAAATCGGCGTACAATTCAACGAATTCCTATATAGAAAATACATCAAATTTCTTGCCAATGTATTTAAAATTAATTATACCGGGTGTAACATTTAACCTGACATATCTCAATATCTCGAATAATAAGCACTTTAAAAAAATGTTTAGTATCAAAGTTGTATTATTCTGCGGCGGAAATACATTGATGACAAAATTAGTGTTGTTCTGCCCCTCCTTCTGGAGGGAAGTGGGTAACTTTGATTTTTTAAATGGCACTATAAACGACAAAACACTATCCTGTCGCTCATAACTTACCGGAATGTTTGGCTAAATCTGCTTTAAAACTAAAAAAAAAACCACTTTACTGTTAGCTTTTAACGAAGTAAGTGCTCAAAATGATGGCCTTCAACCTGAATACTTATCAATTCGTATTTCGAACGACCGAGGACAACAAGCATTTCTTATTCGTACAATCATATCTTCACGTGTCCTTGGTATTTGTTTATAAAATTTGTCTTTAAGATAGCCTCACATAAAGAAATATGGCAAAGTGAGATCTGGTGATGTAGCAGCCCAGTTCACCGGATCAGCTCTACTGATCCAACGATCACTAAATTTACCACTACAATTACGATCAATGGTTTCTCGTGCTACCACCGAATAATGTGCTGGATAACCATCATGCTGAAACCACATGGAATACCATACCAATGTTGGCAGTTCGTTTTCCAAAATGTCCGGTACATGTCAACATTAAAGTTGCCTTCAATTATGTGCGGACCGATAAGTTTACTGCCAATGATTCCACCCCATACGTTGACAGTCCAAGGGGGGGCTGGTACTCAACTCGTCGAAGAGAGTGCGGATTTTCGCTTTTTCTCTTCACTCCAGTAATGCATGTTGTGTCTATTAACGTTGCCGTGACTTATAAATGACGATTCGTCGGAAAACAATACGTAACAAACAAAATAGGGTATTGTTGTATTTACCCGATTTTCAAAATCTTCCCCATGGAGGTCGTGGTGTAAAGAGATATGATACGAATGAAACTTCAACTTTCAACATTCGCCACACACTCATATGAGAAATACCTTAATGCAGTGATACTTCTCGTGTGCTAGCATGGGGATTATAAGGACAAGCATCAAAGACTGCTACTTGATTGTCTGCTCCACAAATTGTAGCTCTACGTGTCTGCTTTACACTTCCTTCAGTAGAAAACTGCTTGATAACTCGAACGAAAGAAGCTTGACGCACTTTGTCCGGCAAAGACTGAGCGTAGAGGTTGATAGCATTATCAATATGCCTGCCAGTTTTTCCATAAGCAAAAACGATTTGAATTTTCTCTTGTACAGTCATGTACTCCCTGCTCATAAAGCATTAATACCAAAATAAATCTAACTGATTAAAATTAGATGATTCTTCAAGTTATTTCTTTTTCTTTGACTTTTGAACCAAAAATGTCATCAAATAAAACTGTGTTATTAATATGTATCTCTAGCAACAGCGTTTTTTAAGAAGATTTTACCAAACATTCCCGTAAGCCATGAGCGACAGGAAAATTAAATTTAGTTGATTATAGCGAGATCTATCGTGTTTTTAGCCGTAGAATCTAAATCTGTAATAAAAAGTGGGGGTGCCATTAAAAATCAATGTTGCTACCTTCCCCCACAAGGGGAGGTAGAGGAACACTAATTTTGTCATCAAAGTATTTCCCCCGCGGAATAATACAATTTGGATACTAAACATTTTTTCGTAGAGTGCTTATTATTCAAGATGTCTCAGGTTAAATGTTACACCCGGTATATGTGGTCTTAATTTTTACTTAACATTTAATGTTGTTTGGTTTAAGTTTAAAATTAATTTACTTTTTTACTTTTATTACCAAAATGTTGAAGTAAATAATTTGCAATCGAAACTCAAGCCCTAAATTTAGACAGCCAGTGTATTTTGTAAAATAAAAATCGGATAAAAATACATATTTTTTCGTCAAAACATTATCAAACCAAATTGAGCGATAACGTGAATAATTTGTTCCTCTAGTTGATACTTACATACTTGTTCTCTTGTGTAACCGGGATTTTGTCTCCCTTATCTTTCAAGTCATAATTAATAATGGTCCCGAACACATCTTGGTAACTTATCCTAAACGTTTGCATGAACACTTCCTCCAAATCGGAGTCTTCATATTCTAACATTTGCTTCAAACTACTGTATAAAATCTGAAACATCAATCGTGTAAATTAATTTTGTCATATTTTCATATCCACATTGTGTTAACGATCAAATCCAACACCCCACATATCGTCACACTCAATCCTACATTCTCTGATAAAGCAATCTAATGGTTATTCATTATAGAAGGAAATTAACAAGTCTTTAATCCATACAATATTCTTGAGGCAGATTATGCTTTTTTGATGTAATTAAAGGTTATATGTAAATCACTTATGTAGTTTAACATTTTATCCACCATCATGTCCAAACTCTATAAAAGTATATTGAAAACATTTCGACTGAGTTGAAAACTAGATATCATCAAAAGTGTTTTTACGACAATGGCTGGCTTGTTTATTTATTGGTTATAAATTATAATTGACCAATGGTATCAGAAGGCCTCTAATCCACTGAAAGCAAAGGTATTAGACCTTCCTAATTCACTGGTCGTGGATACACAACATTAAAAAAAAAACGATTGTTAGCACTAATTATCTAAGGACCTACAGGATTCCAGTCTACCAGGTCTTCAAAAGATCCTTTTCTTCCCATTAGTTTTCTGTACAATACCATGGGAAAGTTAACAGCCAAAATTATGTTGTTGTATATTGCTAGGCCCAAAACAATTCCTAAAATATTTCCAAGCCTCGTATTATCCTCGTAGTACAAGACAGTATGAAAGATAAGTATAGCATTGATGTGATAATGCTTACCGATAAGAGTGAACTGAGCAGTACTTTCAAAACTTGTGGGATTAAACCAAACGGTTTGTGATTCGTTTTGCATGGTAAACATTGCATAATCAGGATTGAAAATCTCTTCAATGACTAGCTGGAAAAATTCTTTTGAAACGCCTCCTTCGTCAATACCTTGTTCTCCTTCGAACTCCACAACTAGCTGCTTCTTTAGGTCATTGGGATTTTCCATAGATATCATTTCCAGCTAAAAATTTAAACACTTACGTATCCTCAGGCTATCCAAAGTATCAACACAAACAATTAAGACATGACAACAACATGACAAAAGAAATTTGGCTCTATACAGAATAATCTGGTAGTTAAAGTCATTGCCCTTCGAATCCCAAATATTTATTGGTTTGAGCAATATAAGTTTTGTAGTCAGCTTTGTTTAGGTTAAACAAAACTAAAACTGTTAGAAATTATATTTTGGCTATGCTAATTTAGCCAAAGCTAATTTAATCTTTATAAAACTTCTAAATCGAATTTAATGTTTCCTTTACTACACTGTAATGTTTTTCATATGTGGTTAATGAAGAAGAGATTGACAGACAGTTATTTTCGAAAATCGTGTTCGCATAATTGTGATGAAAAATCATGTTTTGACAATGTTGAAAAAATCAAGTTAAACCAAGAATGTACGGTTTCTATTTATTTTGAAGCACTTTAATGAACATCTGTAATTTCACTAAAAACATATTTGAATCATTTAGTTCAATAATTACAATTTATAGAGTGATTCAAAATTGGCGTCATTCTAAAGAGTTACTTGGAGAGTGCGGCAAACATGTTGAATGAATGAAACTGAAAAAAATGTGCAGTTTATTTCCCAAATATATTAGCTCTAGCAGTGTTTATGATGAATTGTGCCGACCTGGCAAGTTTTCCGTCATATATAAACATCTTTGAAAAACTTATAGACTTATTTTTGCTTATTGCTTGATATTCAATTATACGGTGTGAGTCATAATTAGCAAATGAACCAGTCCAAAAGAGCTAGCTACCTTCCACGACACAGGGTGACAAACGAGTGAAGATACCAGAAGAAAATATTTAATATTTTGAATATTTACTTCAGTGTTCAATTACTTTTAGTCTCAAGTTTACGGGGTGACAACACAAAAATGACAACCAAATTCTCACGAATGTGACATGAATATTTATTAAATTAGAAAGTTTTTATTCGATTCTCCGTTTAAAATACTACGTTCTGTTTCAATTTGATTTAACACCTTTAGCTACTTTACTAACATATCAAAATAATGAGAAACACTTTTGGCGTTATAAGTTAAAAAAGCATCCGATCGATATTGCGCGGACGCTTGGAATCGACAAATCTAACGTCCGACGAACCAACAAGAGGTTTAAAGAACTCGGCCATACTAGTCCCCGTCCAGGAAGTGGCAGAAAGCGCAGATGAGAAGATGTTCACCGCGCAATAAGCCCACAATCATCAGAACGATAGAAGGTGGTCCGCGAAGGCCCCCGGCATATCGGCCATCGTCAAGCATGGCCAAAATCCCGCGGCCGTTATGGTTTTGTCCGGAATTTGCGCCAGAGGCAAGACTCTCCCTCGCTTTCGTGAAACCGGGGGTCAAAATCATAAAGACGTCTTCCACCGTGACATCATCGAACCCGTCGTGCTTCCGTGGGTGCAGCAGCATTGCCCATGCGGATTGGACGTTGCAACAGGACTCCGTTCCGGCTCACAAGGCGAAAGCGACTTAGGATTGGTGCAGGACCCATTTTCCGGATTTCATCTCGTCGGCGGGATGGCCGCCCTACTCGCCAGATCTCAAGTCGATAGACTACAATGTGTGGTCTACTTTGGAGACCAGGTCCTGGGCTACATGCCACAAAACTTTCGAGTCGCTTAAGCGGTCGCTGCGTCGGGAATGGGACCGATTGTCGCCGGAATAAGTACGGCGGAAATCTTTCGGCAGCGTTTGGTGCCCTCCCGAGACGGACGGAAAGGAGACCATTTCCAAACCGACTGAGTATGTTGTAATCAAAATAGTTGCTTATTGTTCTTTGTTGATAAATTTTCTTTTTATTGAAAATTAAACATTTTATGAAGTTTCCGCTAGACGTCATGTTTTTATTGTCACTATTACTGTAATTGTTTAATACTAAATAATAATTTATTTAAATAAATTGATAAGACGCACGCCCACGGTCTTAATTTTTCAATCGTTAATGGATTGGCGAACAAAAACTGGCGTAGCAATTTTTATCAACAATTTAATATGGACCCGTGATCTTATAAACGCCACTGGTAAAAATAAAATTAATGTTTAGACATAAGGAAAAGTACCAGAGTTTTCTGTCAGTTTATACAACATTTAATATCTCCAATCGTTTCCAATATAATAAATTTAAATTTTTTAATAAATATTTAACATCTAGTATTTTCGTATCAAAGCATTGTTGCACTGATTCATTTACCATAATAACATTAGTTTTGATCGCATAATCTACTTTAAGTTTGTACACTTAATTATGACTCGCCATGTCTTTATTATTTAAATCATGCATTCCTATAAAACCGCTCGAAATACAATCAATATGAAAGGTTCAATAATTTTTTTAAAATTTATACCCAAAATTAAATGTAAACCACAATTTACAAACTGATCTAACTTTCAATGATATTCCTATATTTCACATATTGTTTAAAAACATATTTAATTAAAATTTCTGCGGTCATTATTTAGTAATAGAAGTTATTCGGGATGGACTTTCAAAGGCCCGTAACTTGTAGATCATAATATTGGAACTACGAACGAATATAGTATTTTGTAATATTAGAATAGTGCGTTTTAAGTTTAGTAACTTTACATTAACCTTTTAAAATGGGTACCTTGTCAGATACAGTTAATCTCGTGTCCCATGCATCCGTTTGTACGATGGTACGAAAGTGTTTCTATTGGTTGGGAGATCTGTCAATTCGTCCGGCTTCGTACCAAGTTGGAAAATGTTACTATATAACTTTATACGATTATCGTATGATTTTTAGCCTGACGTTCATTGTTTACATATTATATTTTATGTTGAATTTATTGTAAGTTTTAATAATGAAAACTAAACTTTACCATAAAATAGGATTAACAAATTGCTTCTGTTTTCATTATTATGGATTAGGCACAAAAGGGAAAGTTAAAATACACGAAGATTTTGGGTTCTAGACCATATTTCATAACATAAAATAAATTAATAGTTCATAATATAAACATTTATAACATTTGTTATAAATCATTTGCCTCTGTTTTATGTTATTATTGATATGTTATTTAGAGCTTTTAATTAAAAAACACCAAATGGTTGAAAAAACGATTATTTGGCGTATTTTGTAAAATAGCAGACTTTGCTATTAACATTTACTACTACTTACCTCAACAAGAGCATCATCAATAATATTATCTCTTCGTACTTTAACTCTTAAATAAGGATTTGAAGGATGTCCAGTAACAGCTTGCAGTATGCTGATTCTCCGTTCTGAATACATCCTTATTCTATTATCGAAATAAAGACCCATTGTTTTTGTAGCTGGCGTTAAAATAAACGGGTAATTCATAAAACTGAATTTTCCTGAAAAGATACCTGTATGGGATATTTCATTTTAGTATAATACGGATAATGAACAAAGACCTTTACACTCTGGTAAAAAGCTGGCATTAGTAAATTGCACCTGTGCGATTAGCTTCAATTAATATGTGCATCACCGTTGACTGCTCATTGATATGAATATTAGTGAATTGAAGCTATTATTTTAAGAAAGTACGTCGAACTGTTTCCACTTGCATCAATATCAAGGCCACTAGAATGCACAGAGCATAGAGTAATAATTCAACAATAAGGGAATCAAAAGATCGTACATACAAGGCGCTGCTAAGGCTAGCTGCAAAGCTGTTCAAATAATTTTTGTATATTTTTTTACTTTGATAAAAACTTTTTATGAAAATAAAGTTATTATCATCAAAATAATAATAATTATTATTATCATCAAAATAAATTTTAAAATTTAGGTGGTATTAATGGCGAACATGCATTTGACAATCTTGAATTATTTTGCTGAAGCTTACCTAGTTCACTTTTGAAATTGGCAAAATCTCGATCCATCTCAACCATATCACTTAAAGGTTCGTTATAAAATTCTGAATATGGTAAAAAGGGCTTCCGACAATCCAAAATATTGACACCAAGGACGGTGGCCAGAGAGTCTTCTGGAGCTATACTTTTGCTGAGCTTAACTGATAGGAAAGATTCATCCATGGAATCGTTCATGTAATCCACATATCTTAGATATGGAGGCTCTAAAACCCCGGCAAGAATGTTGGAGTAATATAGAATCTGAAAATATAAAAATGTAGAACGCTGCTTTCCCCATATACTGGATGTCTCGTTATTAATGATACAAGACAAAGCTACATATTCCTGGAGCAAAAACATCAAAATTTAACATAACCTAATTTGATAACAACCGCATATAAAACGGCAGTTAAAAGTTGGGTACATTTTATTAATAATTATTGGGAAGATTAAATGTTTTGCATAAACCGCGGTCTGCTCAAGTTATTTCGGGTGGGGAATCTAAATATTAGTCGGGGGTCTCTTTCCTAATTTTAAGAAGACGTAACTTTTTCATGCCGTAAGAACATTTTTATTAACTACACCATTGYTGTTAACAGAACCAATTCTGCAACTCTTCCACGTAAAAAAGGTGGATGTTTATCATTTTATTATATATATTATAATTATATTTATCATCTAGATGTAAGGATGGAGGATAAAAGGCAGAATTCAAGGTCTGTTCTCTCTAAATAACTTTTTCGAATCGAAAAGCAACTCAAGAACCTCAAAGGTGAGAGTCTGTAAAAGCATTATAAGATCAATAATAGCTTATGGGCGTGAGACATTAACAATGACCAAGGCTAATGAAGAAAAAACTTAGGCGTTTTCAAAGAAAAATTCTAAGGAACATTTTTGGTCCCCACCACAACCCTAATGGCAACCAGTATCGCATCAGGACAAACGCCGAGATTGATCAGCTTTATGGCGACGGGAATATTGTCAAATAAATTAAGTCCCAGCGCCTAAGATGTTACGGGTATGTTCATAGACTATGAGATGACAGACTGACGAAACTTGTGTGGGAGGAGAGACCGTCGAGAAAAATGTTCCTTGGGAGACCACGCCACGGAGATGGAATGACAACATCAAAGCAGATCTCACGAAAATCAATTCCCCTCTGGACACGAACGTTTTGGAGGATTGGGAGGCGTGGAGGAGCATAGTGCAGTCAGCCTAGACCTACATTGCGTTGTAAAGCTACCTTGCGTTTGATTATAGAAAGAATATGAATATGTCTTGAATTGAATTCACTTGACTTTTGTATACGGGAGTATATGAATTTGTGTACGTCGAGGCAATAAATAGTAGTAAATCACGTGCAGCAAAATATTCTGCATTCTGTGAATATAATTTTGAAGAATCACTAAAACAACATTATATTTTTTATTCGGTCTTTCATTATTTATTAAGTATGAGTTGTATGATAAGTAGAAGATAAGATGAGACGCTGTAATGATACACTATTAAATTGCTGTAAACTGCTGTCCAGATTTGATTGTTTTCTGTAGCATGTCTCTACCCGCCTTAAGAGAAACAGCCACGGCGGCATATATTTTTTTAGCATAGAAAGGCTTGCAAATATTTGTGGTTAATATAAATGTACATACAGTGTGGCACAAAAAATTATGAAAAGTATCGCCGACAACGCTCGCTTGAACCTAGATCAAATATGCAATTATTGACAAAAATGTATAAAACATAAAACTCTGACACCGTACATTCTGTTATTATCAACTTTCGGATATATTTGGATATATTGGGAACACCGCCTGCAGCTGGGACGGAATGAACTGATTAGTTTCGTCAGTTGTTACCGGCCCCAAGCCCGGATAAAGTGTGGAGGGTTCCAAGATACTTGCCTAGGGCAAAAAAACAATCATAGCTCACAGAAACAAAGGTCAGTCCTCGGATAATGGACGGATTTCGATGACGACCCATGCGAGGTCAAGAACAAGGACAAGGACAAGGACAACGCAAAAACTAAAATTTATTCCCACTAGATTTGCCTGCTGAAATATCACTTTCTGGAATGGTAGAGATCAGGAGATGATTATGGAAATGGAAACGCATCAGCTAAAGGAAAAACCATCAAATACCAAGATTACATCTTTGCCTACAGTGGAAAACCAAAGCAAGACCGCGTTAAATCAGGTGTGGATATTCTTATACATGATAAGTACTCTGACATTATTGAAAACATAGAATACGTAAATGATAGGATCCTAAGAATCAACCTGGCATTCCCCGAGGGCCCACTACATCTAATTAGCATCTATGCGCCCGACATATTCAAGCCAAAAGAAGACGCTGAAAGCTTTTATAACTCACTACAAAGCAGTATAGACCAAATACCCAACAGCGAAAGATTAATACTGCTCGGCGACTTTAATGCTCGAATTGGCAAAGTAGAAATTCCAGGTGTAAAACAGAAGTTTAAAGAACCAACCCTCAATGAGAACGGCGAGTCCCTAATCGAATTTTGTTCCAGAAATAATCTAAGAATAAATAACACCTTTTTCCAACATAAAGATGAACATACATACACCTTTTGTAATACAAGTAGCCAAAAATCCATCATTGACTATACAGGGTGAGTCAAAATTGGCGTCATTCGGCCGCCACGAGAAAAATATTGAAGATTTTTTTTTCGAAAATTTCTAGAAGATATTAACAGTTGAAGATCAAATTTCAACTTTGTTATTAAGCATTATTTTAAAATTGTTCCATGTTTAATTGGTAGCATATTGGAATACTTAAGCATTCAAA